AACTAATGTCTTTAATTTAATTACAAAATTAAATTCGAAGCTTTTAGCTTCCATTTTTGAAACATGGTTAGAACTGTGTAGCGAAAAAAAAACCATATTTGAAATCAATTAATTTATAATATATTTATATATATATATATATATATATTAGACTGTGTAGCTTATATTTTATATAATAAAGAAACAATTTATACAAAGAATTAAATAGCAATGTTAATATGATTAATGGCGAAATCAATTCGCTAACAAGACTTGAGAAATTAATTCACTATCAATTCATTGAATAATAAGATCCTTATATTCGAGTTGTTGTCAAATGGAAGACATATGTCAAGTACTTCTGACAATTTCAAATTTTCATCGTCAGGGCGCAATTTTGCCATACACGGGCAAACAATAAGACGAAATATGTGTTGACCGAAATGTTCTTTTTTCGAATATAAGGATATTATTATTCAAGTAATTGATAGTAATCTCGTGTCTCATTAAGTTCTGTTAGTGAAGTGACTGGTATTAACCACATTAATATTGCTATTTAATTCTTTATGATATATAGTAAAAAAAAAAAGATTAAGTGTAAACGAATTCACAGCATGGTACGAAATCTCTCAAAACAGGAAACGCAGAAAACACGAAAATTGTTTTTTGTGGAGAGATGCTGAGGTTTTTGTTATAATAAAATATACTGTTTCCTTTTCCCTGGGGAATAAAAAACTCTTATGTATATTTGTTTGTGAAAAATTGACATGTATTATGATGTTAAAATTTTCACAAACTAATCGTTGCTGCTAAACTTGTTATAAAATTATGATGTTTGAAAAATCGAATAATGTAAATTATGATGTTTGAAAAATCGAATAATGTAAATTATAATGTTTGAAAAATGGAATAATAATAAATTATGATGTTTGAAAAATCGAATAATGTAAATTATAATGTTTGAAAAATCGAATAATGTAAATTATAATGTTTGAAAAATGGAATAATAATAAATTATGATGTTTGAAAAATCGAATAATGTAAATTATAATGTTTGAAAAATTGAATAATGTAAATTATAATGTTTGAAAAATCGAATCTGCTAATTTTTTTTTAATAACTTTAGTTTTCATTTTCAAACTGTTTAATTTTTTTATTAGATCAAAAATTAAAATAAATATAAAATTCTGAATTATGTCCCTTGATATAAAATATTTTTTCAGAAATAAATTTTTTTCACCAAATATTTTTGAAGGTTTTTACTTACTTATGTTGATGGTATTTTTGTTAGTTTAATAGTCTTACTAAATTATTATTTATTTTACTTATTATATACTAGCTTAAAAGCCTCACTTCGTGGGGACTTTTAAGCTGGCCCCTGCGTAGGTCTAATTGGTACTCCGGTACAAAACAAAACGGACCTATGGTTCAGTTTAGAAAACAGCAATGATAATTTTGAAGAAATGACTTTGAATTCCTCAATTCATTCCATGGAACTTAAAAACATCACTTCAGCTCTGATTCGGGCTAGAAACCCAATTCCTGTCAAAAGACCGATTTGGGCCGGAACTCCAGTTTTGGCCGAAATTCCTATTCAGGCCAAAAATTGAGTTCCTCGAATCACAAACTCAATGGAACTTCAAGACCTCACGTTACGAAACCTCTCACTTTAATTGTGATTCTTTGGTTATTTTGAAGAATTCAAGTTGATTTTTTTTCAGTTCACGAAACGAAAACCTTTAAATTCACAAAGTTTTTTTTTGTTTCTTTAAACTCAATATAAATTAAAAACTTTTCAAATCAGTATATTTTTTTTTTTCAGTTATTTTAAAATTTGAATTTTGAAATTTTCCCCCCTCGCCCGGACACAAATCCCAATGCTAGATGATCAAGCACCAGATAAAGGGCAGATTTCCAATCCCGGGATCATCCTGATTCCAAAAAGGTATATGTCTATGTAGAGAAAGTGTGGTCCAAATTAACGGGGTTTCAAACACACGTTACGGACAGACAGAATTTTCCATTTATTTATTTAGATATTATTATTATTATTATTATTATTAGGTTGGTGCAAAAATAATGACGTAAGAATGTCGTTTTTGATGTTAAAAAATACGTCAAAAAACGACATTATTACGTCATTATTTTGCACCAACCTAATATTATTATTTCTTTCAGCCTTTTTCAAAGTTGCGGGGCGAAGCGGGTGTCATTATCGTGATTTTAGAAGTACATTAAAGATAGTCTCTTGTTTAGTGTGGAATAATTTAAAGGTGTGTAACAGACCTAAAACTTATTTCCCGAGTTTCTTTTCAATGAAAATAATTAATTCATTAATGACATGCTTAGATTGCTAATTTATTTTCAGATCTGAGGGTTGGGGGGGTGTTGTAAACGTTTTATGACCTTAGTAACGATCAATTTAATAACGTCTTTATCAGGATTTTTTTTCTAGTTTATTTTTCTTTTAATAGATTTTCGTATAAAAATAGTTAAAACATCCCTCGAGGGTGCAATAAAATAGTATGACACCAAAAATTATTAAAATTATGAAAAACTGCTACATATATGTAATATTAAACGAATTTTTTCCTTTTTTTTCTCCTAATTTTATTTAATATTAAAATTCATAGTTTAAGAATTTAACAGTTGCTTATTCAAGTTTCATAAAGTTTAAATACTTGTAAGCTTATTTATTTATTTAGTTTTACTTTAAAGAAAAGATATTTCTTGATTTTGGAAGATGACTATATTGATTCCATTGTTAGGACTGCTGCGAAAATGTTTCACTGTGTGACGCAAGACAAAGTTTTTCTCCAGGATCTATCTTACATACCTATAAGTCGTCCATGCTTCGAATATTGCTGTCACATATAGTTCGGTTCTCCTGGTATATATTTAGAGATTCTTGACAAAATCCAAAGAAGAATCTGCAATATTATTGGTCCTGACCTGGCATCTCGGCTTCAGTCACTTTCCCACCGCCGTAATATAGCTTCCCAGTGCCTTTTCTCTAAATATATTCATGGACATTGTTCGGATGAACTCTTCATTATGGGTTATTCCTCTCCACATACAAAAATTGTACACATGGGGACTAATTAGCGCTTCATAGAGACAATGAGGTATTAAGGTGACTGTAGTAAGAATGTGTTGTTTTGGTGTAAGGAATACTGTACTATGTTTGGGTCAGTAATCATGGCTAACTAAGTATAACATAAGACAGATTGAAGACCCCTACCGCCCCTTTTAGCCTTGTGCCACATTTTTGTATTAAAACAGAATAAATATTACTTTACTGTATGGTACCTAGACTTTATGAATTTAAGCGCAGTACTAGATTGACGGAAAGGTCTCAACATTTTACAGTTGAATTGGTTAGATGCAACCGTAAGTTCTTTACTAACAGTTTCTTCTCTCGCACTTCTCGATTGTGGACCTCTTTGCCGCTTTTTTGTTTTCCAGGCAATTTTGAATTTTCAAAAAATTATATGCAATATCGATCGTTATCTTCTGTCATCTTAACTCCTCGACTTTCTTTTTTTGTTTTCGCTCCTTCGCAATGTATCTCTTCTTTATTCTTCTCTCACACTCAGTAACCCCTTGTTTCTTAGTGGCTTTATTGCCTTGCATTGCGTGAAATGATTAAAAATATTACGAAATTTTATATTAAACTGTTTCTGAATATTACACCGTTGTGCATATTAATTGAAACAAAACGAATAATTCTGTTATTATTTAAATTTTTTTTTCGTATTTTTTCCAAAGAAACATGACCCAATTTCGTATGTCCATTCCACAGATTATCGATTGGATTTAAATCAGGAGAGTTTCCGGTCCAGTCTATAATACTTTGATTGGCTCACTGATAAGGCTTGCCAGTGTGTTCGTATAGCATTACAATTTCCGTACGCTTCCTTAGAGTAAGGTCCAACTGATTTTATAGATTTACCGTACGAGGCCAAAAAATAGACGCACTCATAGAAAGTCGATTTTTGTATTTTTACCAAGACAAGTGAGTAATAAAATTCGTTTATTAATACACGGTATTAATACAGGTGTAGGTATATACATTATACAAGTCCAAAAATGATTTAGTATTTTGTTGGGTAACCTTAACGGCCTTAATTCTTCGTGGCATGTTATAGACTAAATTCTTTAGTGAGTCTTCGCCAGATTTTTCCAGCATTTCTTTAAATCGCGAAAAAGCTCATCTTCTGCGTCAACTTTCCTATTACGGGCACGCTTGTCCATTATCGCCCAAATTGTTTTGAATTGGATTAAGGTCAGTACTGTGACTAGGCCACTGGAAGGGTTGCAATTTACCCTCGTCGCTCTTCCTCTTTAGATAACATTTATTCTCTAAAGCAGTATGCTTAGGATCATTATCGTGTTGAAACTTTAATTATTGTCCTTGGGCAAAACGTTTTTTTTTTTTTAGCTGAAAGCCACATTTGATTAAAAAGAATGTAGTGTTGATGCTGGTCTATCATTTCCTTGATTTTCTACAAATTACCAATTCCTGCTGCAGAAACGTTGACTTTTACTGTGTTTAACAGTACCCTTGGTAGTCACTGGAGTATTCGTTTCACCGCGCGTACACCAAACACGTATTCGCCCTTCATATCTAAGAGTAAAAGAGCTCTCGTCAATCCACATAACATCTTCCTAATCAGATTTAGTCCAAGCCAACCGTGCCAGTCGATTTTTTCCAGGTACAAAAGCTTTCTTTTTTTATCTATTTGGAAACAATGCTTCTTGCTTAAAGCCTGCGTCTGACTGTTCTTGAAGAAACCGCCAAAATAGCCACTTTGGAAACATCTTGTGCTTTTGTGATTCAATCTTTTTTGCACTGACAAACCAAGTTTCTATCTTCCCTGTCGGAGGTTTTTTAGCAGACGGCCAGATCTCCTATGTCTATTATATGTTCCAGTTGGATTTCTCTTTTTGATTAACTGGCAGACACATGTCTCACTTCAATTAATCTTATCAGCTATCGATCTATTCGACAGCCCAAGATCATGAAAAGCGGTGACTTAGCCTTTCTTGAACTCAGAACCAGAACAATGCTTAGACGTGTTAATAAATGTAAATACAAATGTAATAAGCTTTCTACTTTGTTCATCATGCAGATGATACCACGGACGTAATGTATTTCCCCAGTGACTTTTCTTTAAATACTTTCATGGGAATTGTTCTGATGAAGATGTCTTTATGGTAGATATTCATTGGGGTTTCATTTTTAAATGTTGGTATTTTATACCTCTTCCTCCTCCCACAGACAAATTGTACATCACATGGGAACTACTTACGTCTATATAAATATTCTGAGGCACTATGGGTGCGTCCATTTTTTTTGCCTCGTTCTGTATATATTTAGACAATTATATATAATTATTTATGTAACATATCTCTATCTATAAAAGGCAGTATGTGTTTGTGTGTGTGTGCGCCCTCGCGCGCGTGTGTGTGTGTGCGCCCTCGCGCGCGCGTGTGTGTGTGTGTAAAGAATGCACGGCCGCAATTTTCAACAGATTTGCACCAAAATTTACATGCACATGCTCCAAGTTAGCGGGAAGGCCAAGACCGACTTTGCATTTCCCAACTCCCATCGATAGTGGAAATAATCGATTTTTTTCATGCTTCTACGGCAGTTTTCATGTAGTTTGCGGCCACTTTCTACTGGCCAGAGTGAGAGCCAATAGCTGGCTGCCACGAATAGGCAGGAAGATTCTATTGGCCAGCGTGAGAGCCTACAGCTGACTGACACGAACGTTAACTAGAATGCTAGCATGCAAAAAAATCGATAGCTGCATTCGTCACAAGTGGGGAAAATTTAAATCTGCATGGCACTTTACTCCAATTGGCTCATTCGCTTGCTTAAACTCAACGTTGATTCTGATTCTGCAGAACTGGGTTGGGTGTGAAAAAGTATTTGTTGTTAACATTCTTTTTTCATTCGGTTTTTCCAGTTACGAGTCCTTTTTTTAAAGCTGATCATTTTGTGTTCATTTTGTTTAGTTCTTTTTTCGTAAGAGATTTAATGTTTAGTATAGAGCTTAGACAAAATTCGCAGTGTGAGATAGGCAAGATGTAAGGCATGTAGCAACATCAGCACGGCAAAGGGCACTCCTTTAAAGGCAAGGAAGGGCAAAAATATTTTAAGTCAAGTGATAGCGATTGCTGTATGAGTCGTACGATTTTTGAATCAAGCACGGGCAACGCCGGGCCATGCTGCTAATATAATTATATATTTACGAGGTGCAGTCTAGAATTTTAGAAACACTTTCGGAAGAGAGCTTTATTAATTTCAAAGATTTACAAAACTCTAATCTCCTGTAAAATCGGATCCTGACTTAATGCCCTTGTTGTAGTGCTCGGGCCTCTATGTGAAGTCCCCATGGAAGTCATCTAAAGTGAAGGTGTCAAGGCTCCTTGTCACAGCTTCCTCATCTTCAAAAGAACTTCCCCCTGAGATTCTCCTTCAGCTTGGGAACAAACAAAAGTTCCAGCGTCATTGGTATGACGATAAGTTACATCCGGCATCCTGGGTAAGACGATAAACTACATCTGGCAGCAAGGCCTATGATCAGGAGGTTTTGGGGAGCGATGAACCATCTCTTACTTGCTGTTGTTTCCTGGTCTACCCTGAGCCGGGGTGGTAGCCCCTGTTAGGGTCCTTGTTATGGGCAAATAGTTACCCCCAAACTGGAGTGCAAAACATGTTAAAATAGACATTATTTACATTAGAGCGTACAACGGCCGGAACGTTGTAATAAATATGGCGACAAAGATGAGGACAATAGTCCGAATAATGTAAATAATGTACATAATACCTCATCTCAGAAATATAGACAGATACTGAAAGGCCGAAACGTTGTAATAAATATGGCGACAAAGATGAGGACAATAGTCCGAATAATGTAAATAATGTACATAATACCTCATCTCAGAAATATAGACAGATACTGAAAGGCCGAAACGTTGTAATAAATATGGCGACAAAGATGAGGACAATAGTCCGAATAATGTAAATAATGTACATAATACCTCATCTCAGAAATATAGACAGTGTTAAAATAGGTTTTAATACCAGATATACATTTGTGTAAAAAAATATTACCAGCAATAAATTTTTGAAGAAAACATTATTTCCAGCAATACATTATTATTAGTAATACTTTTTTTTGGAAAAAATATTGCCAGAAATACTTTTTGAAAAAATATTATTAACAATAAAAATCTTGTCGGCATTAAATAACACATTGAGGTTGATATGTCGTAAAACAAAACAAACCCAAAAGTCTTAGGGCCCAAGGTGTGGGCTGTAGGGAGGGTGAGGAATAGTTCTGATGTCCACTTCTGTCAACAAAAGACTTTATTGCATACCAAGATTCCAAATTGTCTTCACTTACCGACTGCATTCTGCAAACGAGTCAGCTGTGACAGGGCTTAGTAGGTCTTGTTCAGAAAGCTGTTACAGCTGTCTCCTTCCATCTAAAATAACAAAGATTGGCAGGACAACTTATTTGATGTATAGTAAAGATATACTAAAATTGCAATAAACTTGGGTGTTTTAACTGCATCACCTAAAAACGTCCCAAAACTGCTATGTATTTAGAGACTCTTGATAAAACACAAAGAGTCATTTGCAATATTATTGATGTTGACCTAGTATCTCGGCTTCAGTCACATTCCCACCGACTTAACTTAGCTTCTCTCTGCCTTTGCTATAAATAATTTCATTTTCTGATTAAATTTCTTCTACGGTACCTAGACTTTATTAATGTAAGCACAGTACTAGATCGGAAGCTGGTCTCATCATTTCAAAGTCGAAATGTCGAGATGGAACCGCAAGTTCTATGTTAACAGTTTCTTCTCTTGTACTTCACGGTTATAGAACTCTTCCTGGGTTTTCTAACTTTGATATTCAAAAATTTAAATGCAATGTCGTTATAAAGAGTAGATTGAATCAATTTCTAACTCTGCAGCTAAGAAAGTTGGTTCACTGTGTGGTGCCAGACAATTTTACTCTACTGAATCTATTTTACACACTTATAAGTCTACCATTCCTCCAGACATCGAATATTGCTTCCACATCTGGTCAGGTGCCCCTGCTATATATTTAGAGATTCTAAATAAGATCAAAAAAGAATCTGCAATATTATTGGTCTTGACATGGCATCTCCGCTTCAGTCAATTTACCACGGACGTAATGTATCTCCCCAGTGACTTTTCTTTAAATACTTTCATAGCAATTGTTCTGATGAAGATGTCTTTATGGTAAATATTCATTGGGGTTTCATTTTTAAATGTTGGTATTTTATCCTTCTTCCTCCTCCCACAGACAAATTGTACATCATATGGGAACTACTTACCTCTATATAAATATTCTGAGGCACTATGGGTGCGTCCATTTTGTTTGGCCTCGTTCTGTATATATTTAGACAATTATATATAATTATTTATGTAACATATCTCTATCTATAAAAGGAAGGATGTGTGTGTGTGTGTGTGTGTGTGTGTGTGTGTGTGTAACGAATGCACGGCCGCAATTTTCGACGGATTTGCACCAAAATTTATATGCACATGCTCCAAGTTAGCCGGGAGGCCAAGACCGACATTGCATTTCCCAACTCCCTAGTTAGGAATATAAATATTTTTTTTATTTTAGGATATTTAACCATGTTAAAAAAAATCGCTACACGATTACAATTATGTTTCAACACTATAAATGTGTCTCTTCAGGCGACGTTAAACAACTGGCGAGAGAAAGATTAATTTGATTTCAAAAAGCAGAATACTTTAAAAAATAGTCTTCTCAGTTTTTCTGTAATTAACCTACCGAATGTTAACTACGTTACATTCAAATTCACGGGATTGTTTTTTAATAAGTCATGACACGAAGTTGTCTGCATATAAATCCTAGACAATTTCATTATAGGCAGATACAGATTGTTACATTGTTTCGTGAGTTGTATTGAAACCAGACGCTAAAACTTACCAAGACGTTCAGATCCTTATATAAAATTTTCTAGTTGATAAATAAGAAAACCGTTTAAAAAGCTTACATACGATTGGTTAATCACGGCAAAACTCACAAGTCTATTTTTTAAAAAGTATTGTGACTTGCCTTGCATTATCGCCTTGTTTAGGGTGAATTGATTACAAAAATTAAAATAAAATAAAATAAATCAGTTACATATACGAGGTCTATTCCAGACATTTCTTTTTTTGTTTTTTTGTTTTCTGGGGCATTATGGTGGCTGTAGTAAGAAATCGATTATTTCCACTATCGATGGGAGTTGGGAAATGCAAAGTCGGTCTTGGCCTTCCGGCTAACTTGGAGCATGTGCATGTAAATTTTGGTGCAAATCCATCGAAAATTGCGGCCGTGCATTTGTTACACACACGCACATCCTGCCTTTTACAGATAGAGATGGGTACCCACTGAAAATAACGCTTAATTTAATAAAAAAACAAACTACATTATAAAGATTATTAACAGATAAGAACAGAAACTTGATTTAATGGGCGTTATTCGAATAGAGTCCAAAAGACTGCTGTGCGCTGAAGTACGTGAAAAGACCTTTGCTTAATTTTTTTTGTCTGCGAATTACTTCTTCTTTATCTGCTGTGTCCCTTCAGGAAGTAGGCAGTCATGACTCTCCACATTTTCCTCTCCCTTGCAGCTCTTAATAAGTTTTGCCTTTTTATTTCTCCTAAACTCTGTTCTACCATCCATTTACTCAAGCTCATCAAGTATGTTACGCGATCCTTCTCTCTGTTCCACTTTCCCTCAATCTGCCCTGTGAGTATCAGATTTTCTAAGCCCTCCTTCCTCATTATGCGCCGCAGAGATTTCAGCTACCTCTTCTTGGTGTTAAATACAAGTTTCCTTTCTATTTCCATTTTCTCAAAAACCTTGTCGTTGCTCACATGTTCGGTCCATGGTATCCTCAGCAGCCTTCTGTAGAACAATGATTTCTCTTGCTTCAAGTCTCTTTTTAATCTTTGAGCAGATTTTCCAACTTTCCCTGCCATAAAGGCGTTATCTGCGCGTTTACGAAACTGCAATAACTAGAAAAACTTGTGAACATTTCATGGTTTTCCAATTTTAATTTTCTGATGAAAATTCTTCAGTTAATGATAGAATAATGGCGAGTCTTACGACAATAAAATATCCATAGAAATTCCCCTATCACATCGTTAAATAGTTGAGCTTAACAACTTTAACAAAATATTGTAAAAACAGTCATAAATATAAATCCTGGTCATTATTTGAAGAAGACACAAGGTTACAAACGGAAAGATTAAAAATTGACAAGGTTTTGTTATTTCACTGAAGCAGACGTCAAATGCCTGAGCTTAACAACTTTAACAAAATATTGCAATACCAATCATAAATATGAATTCTGGTCGTTATTTTAAGAAGTAAGGGGGTACAAATGAAAAGTTTTCGAACTGACAACTTTTCACATTTCAATGAAACAGACTTTAAGGACTTCTATCTTCGCTTGTTTCTATTTTCCTTTGTTTCCTTTCTTTCTTTCTTTCTTTCTTTCTTTCTTCCCGTCCTTTCCTTCCTTCTTTCTTTCTCTTTTCTTTCTTTCTTTCTTTCTATCTATCTATCTATCTATCTATCTATCTATCTATCTATCTACATAATTCTGTTTCTTTCTTTCTTTCTATCTATCTATCTATCTATCTATCTATCTATCTATCTTTCTTTCTATCTATCTATCTATCTTCTTTCTTTCTATCTATATCTATCTATCTATAATTCTGTTTCTTTTCTTTCTATCTATCTATCTATCATCTATCTATATAGTTCTGTTTCTTTCTTTCTTTCTATCTATCTATCTTTCTATCTATCTATCTACATAATTCTGTTTCTTTCTTTCTATCTATCTATCTATCTATCTATCTATCTATCTATCTATCTACATAGTTCTGTTTCTTTCTATCTATCTATCTATCTATCTATCTATCTATCTATCTAATCTATCTGTTTCTGTTTTCTTTCTTTCTTTCTATCTTCTATCTATCTATCTATCTATCTATCTATCTACATAGTTCTGTTTCTTTCTTTCTTTCTATCTATCTATCTATCTATCTACATAATTCTGTTTTCCTTCGTTCTTTCTTTTCTTTCTTTCTATCTATCTATCTACATATTCTGTTTCTTTCTATTTATCTATCTATCATATCTCTCTATCTATCTGTTTCTGTTTCTTTCTTTCTATCTTCTTTATCTATCTATCTATCTACATAATTCTGTTTCTTTCTTTCTTTCTTTCTTCTATCTATCTATCTATCTACATAATTCTGTTTCTTTCTTTCTTTCTTTCTTTATTTCTATCTACATAATTCTGTTTCTTTCTTTCTTCTCACCCTTTCTTTCTTTCTTTTCTTCCTTTCTCTCTTCCTTTCTTTCTTCTCTTCCTTCCTTTGTTTGTTTGTTTGTTTCTTTCCTTCTTTTTCTCACTGAAACCAAGTAGCTTGTGTATTTGATTCTGTGTTTCTACGCAATCAAAACGGAATAGTCCATTATTTCTGATGTATTGGAAGTAAAGGTTTAACACTTCTATCTTCCTTTCTTACTTCTAGCTTACGAACATTTCTCTTAATAATAATTTAAATCTATTATTTTATTTATGGTAACTGCATTTTTGTCGATTGCCTTAATCAGTTTCCGTCGTTCGATACTGTGCATCTGAAAAATGGCACTTTTATCACTTTTGGTTGGGTGTTAAAATTTATGTGTTCGCATAACTGGCGGCCGGGCGACGGTGACATTGTAAAAATTCAGAAGAAAAAGGAAGAGAAATTATCACGTGTCTTTTATAGACATGGGAGATTCTAGAACTCCTCACCTACATAACTAAATAACGCCACCTGTTGGCAACACAAGTGTTGTGTGTAATAGAGAAAGGGGGTGGGGGAAGAGCTACCCAATGGGTATTTCTTCTGTCGGAGCCTAGAATGTTTATAAACTTTACGGTTAACTGCGTCTGCTTGGCGCTAAGCCATAACAACGGACTTTGTAGCAACTCTAAACTACTGGCTGAATTCAGTCGCTATCGTCGGTCGACCATGGGTAACCACTTGTTACCAATAGTTGCGTGAAAACGCAACATGGGATCAAAGTGTGATATCTGCCTTCGGGATATGACCTGTGCGGATATATTTTCGGCCGGTAATTTGATCAGGGCCGCGGTTGAGCCGGGGTCCGTCGCCTGGGACGAAGAGATAAAAAAAAATATTTTTCTCTTACTGATAGATTTTTTTTTTACTCCTGTGGCAGTGGAGACTTCTGGGGTTATTGGCCTTCGTTCGATGGCGTTCCTTCGAAGGATTGGCGCGATTTCGTCTCGATTAAGGGACGAGCCTCGCGAAAAGGAGTGGCTCTTGCTGCGTGGCCCACTGTCGATGGTTCGAAGTAATGCTTTCTCCATCATTGTGGCTCGCAGAGGATAGCAAAAAAAAAAAAACATTTTGTTTATAGTTACTTTTTTCAAACTTTTTTCAATGAAGTTATTTATACAAGGTCGAGATTGACGCACAGCTTTGGAACACCAATGTTAGACTAGTCAAATTTAATATCGTATTGGACAGCATAATGAAATATTGGGAATTTTAGAGCTTTTATTTCAGGAGGGAATATTCATGGAAAATGTCTTTAGACTATTTAAGTATGTAATGTTTGAAGCAATGGATACATGGCAAAACATTGTAAATTATTTATGTCGATGTCACCCAAATAAAATACGTAATGTGTTTTTTAATTGACCATATGAATATACAATAGTGTTTCTAAATTCTTCTAGTTGCTAACGACATTTTGTTGTTTATAGATACTTTGTTTTAAAAAGGGAAATGTTAATGTCATCCGGCCGCTTTCCATAACTTCGGTCGAGGCCTACGGGTTCGATTTGGGAAGGGGACCCAGTTGCATCCAAACCTCTTCTGATGATGTCGTTTATTGCTGCATGCGAAACGGAGTGGCTCTTGAAGCGTGTCTCACTGGCAATGTTTCGAGCTAATTCTTTCTCCATCACTGTGGCTTGCAGAGCATAGCAAAAAAAAACAAAAAAAAAACATTTTGTTTATAGTTACTTTGTACAAACTTTTTTCAATGAAGTTATTTATACAAGGTCGATATTGACGCACAGCTTTGGAACACCAATGTTAGACTAGTCAAATTTAATATCGTATTGTACAGCATAATGAAATATTGGAAATTTTAGAGTTTTCATTTCAGAAGGGAAAATTCAGGGAAAATGTCTTTAGACTATTTAAGTATGTAATGTTTGAAGCAAGCTATAGAAGCAAAGCATTTTAAATTATTTATGTCGATGATACTCAAATAAAATATGTTGTCTCTATCAAAATTATATATATTTATCTTTTTGATTTTATTTTCGTCATAGTTCACGGAGTAAATATTATATTATATTTTTTTAATTAACTGGTTTACGGAAAAATTAATACTTCTTTGTTAAATTGATCGGTAATGCTAAATACAATTCATACTGTTCATTTATAATACCTTATCGGGGAGTTTTCATTCACACCAAAAAAAATTCTAAATTCAAACGTAAAAATAAACATAAGTAATCAGTATCATATACCTATAATATAAACTAGCAGTAGATCCCGGCGTTACTCGGGGATGTAACAGTAAGAGATAGATCAAGTATCGTCCATCATAAAGACTGAAAAATAAAATTGACACAGATTATTGTTTAAGGTTGACGGACACGCATGTCTTAATTAGTTTTTTTTTTTTTTTTTTTTTTTTACGAATTGGTCAAACCCAAACTCAAACAAAAAGATTGTTTTCAATCGTTATGAGTCTACCGATTGAATAGAATTTTATTATAAACAATTGTCTTGTAAATGGAATTTTTAAAGCATTCTGAATGTAAAAATAAAGAAAAAAAGTGTGCAAAACAATAAGAAACACTACCTGCCAAAAAAAAAAAGTGAAGTTTTGTTGAAATCGGTTGAAAAATGTAAGAAACTGATCCCATATATAAACGAACACACACACACACACACACAAACAACCTGAGTTTTATAAGTATAACTCGATATGAGTTGTCCCCCTTTCATTCTCGAAACAGTGATGCCTCTTAATCGTGTTTTCAAATTGTTTCGTGCAAAAACAAATGTGTTTTTCCAATTTTTGGCGCTGTTAGAACCACCGCAAGGTAATTTTACGTAGTCATGTGAAGTTTTGTTGAAATCGGTTAAAAAATTTAGGAAATCCGATCCAATATATAAACGAACAGACACACACACACACACAACCTGGGTTTTATAATACCGTGCCGAGAATAAGGTTGTCTCTTCTCTTCTAATCTGGAAGCTTTTTTTTGGAAGCGATTGTTTAGCTTAATTTGCACAAAGGTGTACTTTCTACGATTAAGGGAGATAACTTCTGTCGGTTTATGGAGAAATAGTGAGACAAAATTGAAAAGCTATTCAAAAAACGCGTTTACCACTTTGTTTCATTATCTTCATCAAGAAAGGACAAACATAGATGCGCTCGCTTATGTCACTTGTTTCAACAGGTGAACTGTTAAAGTGACTGAGAAGGCAATAGAAAAAGAACAAGGGGCTGACAAAACGCAAGATGGCGCGACGTTCAGCCCCGGTATACAAGCCTTACATTACCCAGTATGGCCAGAGATAGGAATTAACTGAGGTCACCAAGGGATAGTTTTGTGGTTTTTCTTTAATGGCATATCATCATACTTATTATAAAACCCAGGTTGTGTGCGTGTGTGTGTGTACGTTTATATATTGAATCGGATTTCCTACATTTTTCAACCGATTTCAACAAAACTTCACAGGACTACGTAAAATTACCTTGCGATGGTTCTGACAGCGCCCAAAATATTGGAAAAACAAAAAAAAACAATTGTTTTTGCACGAAATCAATTTGAAAACACGATTAAGAGGCATCGCGAGAATGAAAGGGGGACAACTCATATCGATTTATACTTATTATAAAACCAAGGTTGTTTGTGTGTGTTCGTTTATATATGGGATCGGATTTCCTACATTTTTCAACCGATTTCAAATAAAACTTCACTTTTTTTGGCAGGTAGTGTTTCTTATTGTCTTGCACACTTTTTTCTTTATTTTTACATTCAGAATGCTTTAAAAATTCCATTTATAAAACAATTGTTTATAATAAAATTCTATTCAATCGGTAGACTCATAACGATTGAAAACAATGTTTTTGTTTGAGTTTGGGTTTGACCAATTCGTAAAAAAAAAACCCCAAAAAACCCCCAAAAAATCTAATTAAGACATGCGTGTCTGTCAACCATAAACAATAATCTTTGTCAATTTTATTTTTCAGTCTTTATGATGGTCGATACTTGATCTATCTCTTACTGTTACATCCCCGGGCAACGCCGGGCCCTACTGCTAGTCACTTATATGGGTTATTTATTGCCGGTATCTTAATATGAAAATTCAAACTTTATAATTAATTCAAGATGATGACATTCTTTCATAATTAAATTATAATTACTTACCTTCATTGTTTTTTACAAAATAATCTTGCAAATTCAAATAAGGGGTGAAAATTTGTTTCTCCTTACAAGAAATGAGATTATTCATAGAAAACTTTTCTTTTTCATTGGTTTGGTTTGGTTTTCGGCATATCAACTTCAATGGGTTATTTGATGCCGACGAAATGAATGGCTGTCTCCTCTCTTCTGATCTGGAAGTCAAACCTGACCAGGGGCAGAAAGCTTTCATTCCCTGACGTCATATAAAGGGATGCAGGCATTGGTAGGCCTTGAGGACAGCGGAAGGTCTGGCGTAGTCTTGTGGATTCCATGATCTCGATTCCAGTCGACATACGATGATGAAATGCCCGGACGAATGGTAGATTTATAAATGTGCAAAATGGATTCCGAAGAGGAAACACGATAAAAGAAATTAAAAAAAAATATTCTATCGGTTGAATTTTAGTAAAACTTGTCCGATTTAATTTTGAATGTTTGCTTTTTATGTATCTAATATACTTACATAACCACACTGAGACTTATACACAGAAGCCATAAGGTCGTCACAGAACGCCCACTAGAAATTTAATCCGTGTAGGCATACCAACGTCACGGGATGAACACATGACGTCTCAGCAAAAACAACGAGATTAAATGAAACCCGTCATAAAAAATTTAAAAAAAAAATTGAATCAATTGCAGAGAACATAGAAATTTAAAATTGAGACAACCGCAAACATTTGTTGACAGATTTTAACTGAATATTCCTCATTCAACTCCCAAAATTCTTCATATTCATCATGAAACCAAAAATATACGCCAATATACCCATTATGCTACGATTTCAAGAATTAGACACAAGATAGACACAAAACACCCACCAGAATTAAGATACACAGGCAGTACTGACTAACGCTAAGAAAAATGATCATGTGACATTTACCCGACCAATGAAAACATTACAAAATTCT